GGGAACAGGCCAAGCTAGACAACCCAGATCCAGAAAATTTGATTCCAGTTCCTATGATTGGGTTTAAAACCCTACATCAAAGATTGAAGCACCAGGAACAACAGACACAGGCTCATCAACAGAGACTGGATGTAAGGCATTGTAACATACTATATTGACTACTCTTTACAACGCTTCACCATAAGTTACAGAATGATGATTTTTAGCTCACTTGAGCCTTCGCTTTTCTGATCACATTTTGTCCATCGTCCATCTGTCTGTCTGTCCGTCCGTCTAGCTGTCCGTCCGTCTGTAAACTTTTCACATTTTCGACCTCTTCTCAAGAACCACTGGGCCAATTTTGACCAAATTTGGTACAAAGCATTCTTGGGTGAAGGGGAATTTAAATTGTTAAAATGAAGGGCCAAGAGATAATCAAGAAAATATGAAAATAGGGTGGGGTCATTAAAAAATCTTCTCCTCAAGAACCACTGGGCCAGGAAAGCTGAAACTTATGTGGAAGCATCCTGGGGGTAGTGTAGATTTCAAATTGTCTAAATTATGATCAGTGGGGTAGGGTGGGGTCATAATATGTATTACAAGGGGGAAATCTGGTAAAGAACAGAATGGTCAAAGCTTCTCAGGTGAGCGATGTGGCCCATGGGCCTCTTGTTTTCACGGTCTTATGATTTTCTTAGTTTTTTCTCACAGAATGAATTCTATTTTAAATGCAGTTTAGTGCAGTGATAATTATGATAAAAGTTTGTCTCTCAAAAGTTGCCTCATGATATTTTGTATTTTGAATGAAAAAGTTATGATACTTGATGCATGTGAAGAAAGTGCAATACTCTTTATTACACATTTTTTTTTTTTTATTCATTGTAATCATAGAACAAATTCTTTCAGTACATAGCTGAATTAAGGATTAATGTGAATTGACTGATTTTAATGATAAAAGAAAGTGCATGTGTAAAACTCATCTGATTTAGTTCTTTTCTTGTGGATCCACATTAATCCCAATTAATCAAATGTAAATTCTGTAATGTATGTACATGTAAATGCATATTGAATGGATATTTTTTCCTCATGCTTCAAAGCTGGTGACTTGATTTGTAATACTTCCTGGTGTATTTTCTGTTTCTGACTCGGAATGGATAACATTTATATGTTTATTTTTCTTTATTAAAGATAATTGCTGAGGACTTGGAATCCTTACAGCAGAAACAGGTGAACATGCTGGCAAAGTTAGAGGAGTACAAGAGGAAACACATCCAGCTAAGTCACCGATTATTACAGGTAAGTAAAGTTATGGATTAATTTTTACTGGTAAAGTAATGTTTCAGATGGGTATTACAGGTAAAATAAAATTACAAGTGATTATAGAAGGTGAAATAATGTTACAGGTTGGCTTTACAGGTATATAAAGTTATAGGTGATAGTTACAGGTAAAATTGATTATGGGTGATTATCACAGGTAAAATAAAGCTACATGTGAGTATTACAGGTAAAATAAAGTAAGAAGTGATAGTTACAGGCAAAATAAAGTTACAGGTGATAATTACAGGTAAAATAAAGTTTTAGGTGACTATTACAGGTTAGATATAGTTAAAGGTGCTTATAATGTAAAATAATGTCACAGGTGATTATTACAAGACGAGTAATTAAAGTAATGTAACAGGTGATGATTATGGATAAAATAATGTAATAGGTAAAACACCAAAAATTTATGGTTAATGTAAATGGAATATTACAAGATAAGAAATGAGGAGGCTTACATTGATATGGGTGGAATACAGATTCTTCCTTGTATTGTTCTTTATAAGAATTTTGTGTAGTAAAACCAGTTGGTGCCAGCATAAATATTTTTGTGAACAAACCTTAAGACCTTCAAACTGCAACATGAGATTAAGAGGCTTGGTTTTCAGTTTGCACAAAATTGACAATTTTATGATAGTATCAATATTTGCAGGGTTCGAAATTAAGTTTTTTAGCACTAGTCCGCGCGGACTAGTGACTTCTAGCTTCCACTAGTCCGCAAACTATTCCACTAGTCCGCCCACTAGTATGTAAAAAGAATAACACAAATCTTAAATTTTTATCAATTTATTCAATGAAATATGTACCCACACATCAGTTGGAAGCATGTGGTGAAAGAAAGAGGGTTTTCAACTTTCAGAAATCTCCACATGGTCATGTCTTTGTCTATTCAGATCACAATGTAAAAACGCTTTATCGCAGTTGCATTTCTTGTTTACTTTCAAACGTCTGAGAGACTCGGAAATAAAATTAATAGTATGTGAACCGATTCAAGACTTATATCCGGATTTGCACTAGTCAGTGCGGACTAGTACCTTACAAAGTCTGCTAGTCCGACACAATTTTTACTTGTCTCGGACTTAAGGACATGAGTTAATTTCGAACCCTGATTTGAAATACATATACCTACATGTACAAGTGTACTTTTAATTGCCAAAGCAAAGCTTAAGGTCATAAGAAAAAAAATGTTTTCCCCCAACAATTGTTACCGCTGTCTATTGTCCTATAAGAACACCTTTTTCTCGTTATTATGTAGATGCATGCATTATGCTGTAAAGTAAATATTTTCAGACCAAAAAATTTAATTAACAGGTGGTTGTAAAACAAGAGATTTCAAGAAAAATGGGATATTCCATTCAACCAGAAGAAGAGCAGTTACGTGTGCAGCTGGAGAAAATTCAACTGGAACTCAACCATCCTACACAGTTTAAGGTACAACTGTTTTTAAATAAAGATGAATTTATATTATCCCCCCATCAAAGAAGGAAGGGCATATTGCTTTGCTGCTGTCAGTCTTTCTGTCTGTGTGTCGGTCCACCAACAGTTTTCATTCATTTTCTTTGCAGAGGTTGCACATACTGTTATGAACTTTGGTATATAAATTTATCATAAGAATATCTAGCTTGATTTGTGTTTTGGGTACAATTCAGCAATTTTTGACAGAGTCATGTCCCTTGGGCTTAGAAACATTTCAATTATTTGGGTGAGAGGGGCATAAGTGTTTTACAAACATCTCTTGTTTAAAATGATAGTCAGTTTTTGAATGGGGTAACCTGTATCAATTTACTGGTATTTTAATGATAATTTCATCATTGATCTTTACAGGGTAGGTTGAATGAACTAATGTCCCAGATTCGAATGCAGAATCACTTAGCAGCAACAAGAGCCGACGTCAGCTACCAAATGGACCCAGGTCTACAACAGGAAATCAAACAGGTTGGTTTACTTCCTCATATTTATACTGTCAGGAACAGGTCCATTAACATCTTCGTGATTTGTGAAACGATATGGAGTCAGATCAGCTCACTATACCATTCTGTGGACTATCATTGACTTAACAGTTTATTCTCTATTTATTGGTGCAACTGTAATACATGTAGTACAATCAAACCAATATCTTGAACTCTTTGGGCCCAAGAGAGAGCTTCAATATACATGTATCTGAACAATTGAAATAATCAAAGTAATATTCCTAAAGAATAGAGGGTTGGGACTTTCAAATGTTTTGAACGTAAGCATGGTATTCAAGATATTTATGTTCAATGTACAGAAGTACAACTTTACTAAGTTCCAAACAGAGGGTGGTAACAATGTTGGGCTCAATATTGGTTGAATTCTTGGATTAATGATACTGTTAAATGAATGTGTCATTTCTGTTACAAGTGTATATAGGAGAGTAAAATATATCGATTTCTTCTGAATTTTTTTTCAGCTTTTAAAACAACAACAGGATGGTCTGAAGCATCTTGTGGACATTATTAAAGAAGATGCTCAGGATGTTCAATTAATGGAGCAGAACTTGGAAGCATCCTCATTCAGTCAGCGATGACATTTACAGGAATGTGCATAAATAACTTCTTTTACTTGTGTATCATAGCATCCTAGTTTTTCCAAAGGGCTGATTAAAAACTTGCTTTAGTGCTATAGTAACGACTGATTGAAAAACTTGTTTTATTCCTATACAAAAACAGAGAAGTTGATTCAAGGGATTCATAATGTTGATTATGATGTCCACAGAGACAAATTATTCCATCATTTAAAAGAGAGTGATGAAATATTGATACACTGAAGCTAGCTTATAATTTTTACATTAATGAATCATATTTGTTGTTGACATACATTATGTACAGACTGCCTCAGCCTGTTTGGTTATTTGATATAATAAATCAAATCTCCACAAAATATTTGATTATTTGCTGATTATAGTACAGTCATATAATTCATGTAATTTTTTATGTAGGATAAATGTGTATGCTTTAAAGTTTTGTAAGTAAAATGACTATTTTATTTAATGACCAATATCTGCCCCAAACTTTGATGGACAAATCTATAATAATGTTCTAAATTAATATGACATCAATATGCTATATTTGACATTATAAAAAAGTGTTTTGATTGAAAGCTCTGCCATCAAAAGTCTGCCCCTGATAGATATTTTTATATCATGTAGAATTACAAAATAAATGAAATTCTTCACTCAAAATTGAAAAAAAAATCTTGTCCTCTTTCTTTAAAATTTGAGAAAATCCAAATATTTTGTGGTATTGCTGAAACAATAACATTACTGTTAATCTACTTCCAAAGTGTAATACAAGTTTTGTTAATGCCTCATATTTCTCATAATATATACATTTTTGTTCATTTTTAAAGACTTTCCTAATTTGGAATTTATAGGGCATAGCATATAAAGATCTTTCAGATAATGGGACAATTCTCTAAAGTGAGAAAGGCTATGGACAAGAAATCATGAAATCGCAAGAATACAAGTTTCCTTCAAAGTAAGCATTTATGTTTGTGTAAAAAGTTTTCTCCATAAGAAATTGCTCAAACTCCTGTATGACTAATTAAAGAAGTCATTTGTAGTCATAAGTATTTTCTTGAAAGAGTCTAGGGATATGAATTAATTGTATAACAACTGAATTTAAATTGGATTCTTTATTATGGGATTAATATATCAGAGACTTGTAAAGTGCACTACAAAATTTTTTTCTTTGATTCCACCTTATTCCTATGTACAATACATGTACTTTAGCGTCAGTCATTTGCCACGCTTAGTAAATGTCCGGAAAATGAAGAAAATCCCAGTCCAGCAAGCACTTGATTGGCTGGTAGGAGACAGTAGACCTTTTGACCCCGGTTAACCCTGATGATGAAGCTGTTGGAAGATCCCATTTCGTGTACTTGTTGTGGGGAGGGTTTCTGATTGGTTGCTGGCATGAAGGGACTCATGGGGGGGTTTTGGTCGCCTTTTTTCTCCCCTTCTCCAATCCTGCCGTCAGCCCATACAGAGACCACTCTTTCGCTGTTGAACTGAATGAAAAAAAAAATACTCAGAATTGTTAACCTATTTCTTAAAAATGAGGTTTTTCCAGGCTTTATTTTACGATTTTGAAATACGCGCCAGGAAAACCTGGCACGTAAAATTGTCAGAATCGTAATCTGCATGCCGATAAAATACTAAAATCGTAAAAGAGCCTGGGAATCGTCGGATATTTCAGACTACAGAGATGTATATACATGAACATGTTGATCCCTGGTTATAAGAAAAAAAATTACATGTCAATGATAGAAAGTTGTGCATTCATTGGATGTTTTTTTTTTTATGAATCACAAAATTTTGGTTGATGCGGTTTTTGTACAATGAATGTTACCATAACTCTGATTTCCGCCTGTTTGTGTACAATGGTATGGGCGTGGACGTTGAACTGATAGTATCCTGGGATCGGCGCCGTAAACACTCCCTTCTCCTCGTCATACCCCGACCCCACGTTACTGATCACATTGTCAAACTGTATTATCTAAAATTATAGAGATTAAAAAACACACCAGTGGCAGTGTATTCCTTGGATAGTGCTGTTATAGTTTTGTAATTTTTGCAAACTTCTAGTATATCAGTCTGATGGGAATTCCTTTGATTTACGCAACGAGTGTCCGCTTCCAAGCCTTGATCGTTCCTAAGACCATCTCAGTGTGAGTAAAAAGTGTTTTTTTTTTTTTTTTTTATGTCATTTTATTCGAAGCACACTCCGTTTGTGGTATTAAAAAATAACAAGTATTGAAAAATTGTTTTCTAGTAAAACGTATCATTTTCTGAGAGTGAAATATTACCAGATGAAAACTGACAATTGAAGGGCTTTTAAATTGCTTTTAAAACGACAAAACTGTGATCGATCGTCGATACCTCTACACGTGTATTATGCTGGCGACTCGGTGCTTTGGAAAATTATATTAAAGCTTTGTTCATAATATTTAATGCAATAAAGAATGATTCATGTATAAAAATAAAATACTCTAACTGAAACTAAAATCCATCTATTTCTAACACTTCCATTCAATTTGTTCCATGTGTGAATCTCTTTGTTCGCACGAACTTTTAAATATTTTATTTTCTTGCAACTATGAAGTTGGCTGTCTGTCTGGCACTGAAAAGAAAATTCTTGCATCTGACATTTTAATTCTCTCGTAAGTAAGATGAAATATTTTCAGATCTTATTTTACATGTTCTAAGGCATCAGATACTGTCACCATGTTACTCTAATAAGACTTTCAAAATTCCCAAGCGAACATCATTAGAGCGAAGATTTTGGGAACAATTGCAAAGGTGAAGAAAAATATCTAAATTTATTTTTCCCGAGCGAGAAAAAATATTTACTAGATGTACGTGTAAAATTGAAACTAAAGGCATGTAGCGCAAAATGAACAGATATGGTAGACTCTATGTTACCTTTATTACGAGTTTACTGGGATACTAGTATAATGTTTGGACATATGAATGGAAGTAACTATTGTTAATTGACAAAACATCGTCGATATAATTATCTGAAAGTCGAGTTGAAGGTCAGGGCAGTTTTCTCTTCTTCCCATGCTGAAGTTTTGAATTAATTCTCTTCATAACAACATGGAATCAAGTAAGCTAAGAAAAGAGCCCAATTAATACCCATCGGAATTCCAAGAGTTAGTCGGAAGAAATGGTCTCTGATGACTATGTAAATTTGTCAGTGAGAATCTCCAGCATACTTTAAACCTCTAAGTAATTAAAAAGATTCTGTCAGTTACAGTGCATTTGATATAATTAATAAATTAAATGAACTGGTGACCTGTACAGGGTCTTTTTCTTGTCGATTCCATGTGAAAAAGGGGACGATTAATGAACTGTGATCGATCTCAAAGAAATACACATTCAGACTATATAAATCTATGACGAGGACACAGAACACAAACCCTGGAAATTCCAGAAGTGGGATCAGGTGTCTAGAAGGAGTGAGCATTCCCTGTTGACCTGTAAATCCCGTCGTGATGACGTAGACGAACCATCTTACGATTTCAAAGTAAACTCTATCTATTGATGATATGAAAACCTTTTTCAAAAGGTTATTGCTATTTCCATTCTATCTCTGTTCAGTAACAATTTATAGTCTACAAGTGCAATTATTAGGCATGTGCAATTCTGAGCATTTTCGCATCTGAAAATTTATTGTCTGTATTTATCAAGGTTTTCTGTGGTACATATTCTTATCTTTGAACTTGATTCTTTAGCTGTATTTGAAATTTTTCTTCGATTCATGTCTTTCAGTTTTTCAACACCCATATAAGTATATGTTGGAATATGGACCCTCTGATAATTAGTGCATTTATTTCAAGAGATCAGCCAAAAATTCTCCGTTTGCATTCATGTCCCTGGATGCACCATGCCTTCCCATTGCCTTATTCCTTGGAAAGGTATTTCTCTCTTGTCAATCATTATACACTTTATATAGAGACATGAGCATTGCGGAATGATTCAATGAATTATAAAACTTCATTCCGCTTTAGTTGTAAGGTATTTACTATAAAGATTCTTGTACAAAGCTTAGTTTTATCCAAAATATTTCATAAAATGCCCATTATATAGAAATACTTAAGTACATTGTAAATACACGAGTCAAAGCGGTAAAGAAATACAACCTTTTTTTCAGCGACACCATTTTGAAAATGGCAGATATTGCCATGGCCAATGATGATCATAGAAACAGTTTTATCTTGCATATACTGTGTGTGTTCTTAATTTCAAGCTTGTCTCACATGTGAAAGATTTAGGTACAATGTATTTTTCTGTAGGCCGCTACACTTTTTAGCTCACCTGAGCCGAAGGCTCAAGTGAGCTTTTCTGATCAAAATTTGTCCATCGTCTGTCGTTGTTGTTGTCGTTGTCGTAAACTTTTCACATTTTCATCTTCTTCTCAAGATCCGCTGGGCCAATTTCAACCAAACTTGCCACAAAGTATCCTTGGGTGAAGGGGATTCAAGTTTGTTCAAATGAAGGGTCATGCCCTTTTCCAAGGGGAGATAATTATGAATTAGAGAAAAAATAATGGCATTTTTAAAAAATCTTCTTCTCAAGAACCACTGGGCCAGGAAAGATGAAACTCATATGGAATCATCCTCAGGTAGTGTAGATTCAAGTTTGTTCAAATCATGACCCCCGGGGCTAGGGTGGGGCCAAAATGGCCGATCAAGGTTTTACATAGGAATATATAGGAAAAATCTTTAAAAATCTTCTTTTCAAGAACCACTGGGCCAGGAAAGATGAAACTCATTTGGAATCATCCTCAGGTAGTGTAGATTCAAGTTTGCTTAAGACATGACCCCCGAGGGTAGGGCGGGGCCAAAATTGTCGATCAAAGTTTTACATAGGAATATATAGGAAAAATCTTTGAAAATCTTCTTCTCCAGAACCACTGGGCCAGGAAAGATGAAACTCCTGTGGAATCATCCTCAGGTAGTGTAGATTCAATTTTGTTCAAATCATGACCCCCAGGGGTAGGGTGGGGCCAAAATGGCCGATCAAAGTTTTACATAGGAATATATAGGAAAAATCTTTTAAAATCTTCTTTTCAAGTATTTCAAAGCCATGATTAGTAATATTTGTATGGAATCATCCTCAGGTAGTGTAGATTCTAGTTCGTTCAAATTATGATCCCCTAGGGGGTTAAAATTCAAGCCCACCCCCCCCCACCCCCACCCCACCTCAGTAAACTTTCAGTTCTGATCTGATATGTGCTTTTTTCCTAGCCGATGTGCTCAGGTGAACGCTGTGGCCCCTGGGCCTCTTGTTCAATAATGTTTTAGAAAGGCGAAGTAGCACCTTTAAGTTTGTGTTTTTGTTCCCTTTTTTCAGTTTTCACTCAGATTATATCTATACTCGGCACTAACAGCCTTTGAGCCTTGGGAAATCTTTTTCGTGTCAGCTCCTTTTTAAAATGAATAAAAACTGCAACTCTTTTAGTACTTGTTCTTCTTTTTACATGTATCTTATTCCTGACTTCCCTAAAATAATTATTAAATGATTTTTTTCTATACGTACCTTGTAATAGCTGTATGGACCGAAAGGTCTTGCTTCCATTACCACAGAGAAGGCCACGAATTTGTCCCCCCCCTCTCGTGTTGCATTGGTTGAGCCGCCGGGAGATCCTGGATTTCCTCTAGGACCCTGGGGTCCTCTCTCACCCCTAGGGCCGGGAGGCCCAGGGGGACAGTTGCATGTCTTCTGATCAGTTGTAAAGTTTAGTAAACCTCCCTTTTCTGTAAGCATTGACATCTACTGACGATATTTTATTGTAAATTTATACTTTCTTTTCTTGTGTTCTGAACTATTTTCCATGTTGACCTACCGTTTTGGATGAGTCCACCATTAAGATAGATATTAATGGGTCCATCAGATTTATATACTGCAGTTGGTTTTGAACAAAGTTTATCTGAGGTGTCCGGTATAGTTTCTGGTGGCTTCTTTTCTGGACCATGTGCTATGGCGCTCCCATTTAGTTCTAAACTGGGATTTAATAGGAAATCAGAAAAAGACGAAGAGATAAGTAGAATTATAGTTAGTATTAAGGACTGCATTATTATCGGTCGGACATGATGTTCAGGTGTATTGTAAGGAATATCGGACATTGCAGGTGTTGTGAAGTGCTATCAGTCATGTTCAGAATTATCTATCGTCCACTTCCTTACAATACATTAATGAAATAGTGAAACGTAACTGTCAATCATTTTGAAAAATTCCAACACTGTATTTAATTTGTTGAATATAGAAAGGAATTTTTGAAGATGATTCAGTATATCTGTGCCTTTTTACTTAAATACTACAGACCTATACATTCCAGATCTTTAATTTATAGAATTTGAAAAATGATAGCCTTTTAAAAGACCGATCAAATTTCCACAAAAGAAAGGAAGATTTTTAAAACTTGTATATTCGCAAATCCATTCATAGCTCATTGAAAACAAAGGCATGATTACTAATGTATGAATTAAAGTGTGAAAAGTGTTTGTCTCTTGAAAACATGTTTGATAGATTATACAGTTCAGTGTTTGTAGACTATGCATTTGAAAGAAGAATATGCATTTATCACCATACTCTTTTTCGGTGCTTTCCTGGGATTTTCAGGTAAATACTTACATCACAAGGTGATGGTTGCAAACTTGTCTTGAAATATCTGATATTCTCCAGATATTGAAAATATTTTCATGTTAAAACTGGTATACATCACAAAATTCATATACAGCCCAAGTTTAGAATTGAACAAATTGTTGTTTTCTAAATGACACTAGTGACCCACAGGTTAGTCCGTCTTTCTGTCTCTCTATTGATGATATAGTGGCCCTGAGCCGGGTTAGTCTGTCTGTCTGTCTAGTTGATATAATGTACTTGAACAGACGGGTCTTGTGTTCTGCCGTGGGCCGGAGTGTGGTATGACAGTGCCTTTCCTGACAATGATGTCACATTTGACAACAGTTCCCAGTCAGTATTGGGATGGAAGATCCAGGCGTACAGCACAGAAGGGACGAATTGGGTCTGTCTTGAGGAGAGCCAAGTGGACAATAAACTGTTGTTTAGGTACAATTGTAAAAAATCGTTTGTAATTCATTTTGTAAATTATAAAATGGATAAGGTAAATGTGTATTACAATTCTATGTTGCTCTTTTTTCTGTAAATAATACAAATACATAGTGAGGACTAACGCCCGTTTTCACAATTTCATTTCAGATCACTGACAAATTTCGGAATATTTTCAATTCCAATTTTTATGTTTCGATGTATCAGATGGACCAAAATATCGGATGATGCCTATCTGTATTATGTTTTAGCAGGTATATATAATTCAAGTACCACTAAAAAAGAACGGTTATAAAACATCGATACCTTTTTACATTTCAAGTGAAAATATTTAGATATACTAGTATTTCAAAAGGCAAATACTGCTAGAGTTCTGCATATTTTTGTTTCATTTATTAATTTAGATGAACAGACTAACATTGCAAATCAAAGATTATACGCCGAAGCCTCCGACACTAACTTGACTATTGAAACAGCGTGCTCAGCGACAAATCCACCAGAAACTAACGAATTCCACGTTATCGTGAGGAAAGGTAAGTACGATTGTAATAATAAAATCCCATTCACTTCGGTTTAAATATAAAATACCTTTAAATTACACGCTAAAAAATTAAGAGTGAACAGATCTAATTTTATTTAAAATTGCTGTTTAATTAAATGATATGTAAAAGTTAATTCTATTTGAACATCCTACAAAAAGATATTTAAATTCCCATATGTATATTGTAATTTGATACCAATATGTTTTTGAATCCCGAAATAGGAACTATGCTTATAAAAGTGTATTAATTAAGATTATTTGTTTAAAAGAATAAAATCTACTAACTGAGAAGCCAAAAATGAATCAATGAGCCTACCAGGAAATGTGAGAGGGAAATTTAAGCCCATCCACAAACAAATTAAAATTTTCAAGAGAAAATGTTATCATATCAAATTATTTTATTAAAAAGGGAAGGATACGGCAAAAATGCATATTGTTGAAAGCACGTTGCCTTCTGATATTTTTAACAATTAATATCAAAGTAAGCATTAGGAATAATTAGACTTTATCTATTTGATTCATGAACTCTTTAAAAAGGATCCATATTTAAATCTCAAATTTTAAAGGTAGGGAGTCATCTGCCAGACAGAATTGTCCCTCCCTTCTCTTACACAATTTTACTTACATCCATGACAACGGAACGATGACGTCATGTGATCCCGCCAATGGTTCAGCAGATGGTTGTAGCAATAGACAACAGATTGAATTTGACTTCTCTCAATGTAACACAGCGGTTGGTTTTTCTGGTAAGTGACAAAAGTAAAGGCAACTTTAGATGAAAGCAATAGCTTTTAAGAAATCAGATTTTGAAAAGTTGCTCGTGTAAAATTATACATTTAACTATGGAATCTAATGCCCAAAGATTGGCATATTCTTCTATACACACATCATGCGATTTACTGGGCAAGGGCTGATTTTCTATATGCATGTGCTTCTGCCAAAATATCGCGAAAAAAGTTCTTTTAAAAATATTTTTGAGAACGATTTTGAAATAGAAGATTTTGAATAATCAGTCTATCATTTAAAAAGTTTCATGAAATTGTCGAGTTTAGAAAATTTTACATATTTTTAACGAGGTGGATATTTTTCCGTAAAATGCCAATTTCATGTTATTTCTTTAAAAGTTTATTAATGTTTCATTTTTCTTAGTTGGCACCATCAAGTTAGTGTATAATTAATTTAAGATATCAAAAGAAGTTCTTTTAAAATTTTTGCCTCCATAATCATTATTGATAATGCCAAATAAAAGTAGACTCATAACTTTATTGACGTATGTCAAAAACTGAACATGGCTTTGCGCATTATGAAAGTTTGTTTTCAAAAACCGTCGTACAGTAGTTCTGAGAAATCGAAATTCCATTCATCTTCATTAAAAATCTATAATTTTTAGGGAGAGTCTTTAATTTGTGACAATTTATATTCTTACGAATTAAAGTTCCATAAATATACATATTTTTGCTATCTTTAAATAAGAAAAACTTATTTTAAAAAATCAATATGATTTTCATCGACAGGGGACACATCAAGGTGGCTTAAAGATTGAAAATCTTTATAATACTGAAATATCGTATGCTCATTAAGAATAAATGATAAAGTAGACTATATAGTATAAAGATTCCCATTATGTACTAATAAATGGAATTGTGAACTTCTGTCCTTCCAGCTTCTCAAATCGAAATGGTCCACCAAGGACCTTCCAAGGACTCTAAACAGATATAAAGGTAGATTGTGGCGATTGGTTGATAAATTCTTAATTATCTTATCACGTCTGACATCAGGAACTTGTACTATTTCAACGACGTGGGATTAATTCTAAAACCAGAAATAAAATTCCCTTCAGATCGTCTTCTGCATTAACTTATACAGCGCCTATAACATTTCAATTAAGGTACTCATTGCAGAATGCAGATATAGTAAAATCTCAGATTTGGAATATTGTGTTCTCTATCCTATTAATTAACAGATTAAATCGTAGGCAATGTGCCATTCTTCATTCATACAAGTTAAACTGTTTATATGAATGACTTACAACCTATCACTTTTTTAAAAAAAGTAAGTGATAATTACAATCTTGACCCTTAAATTGGTGATACTTCTTAACTTATTTGAACAAGTGAAACATTTTTTCCCTGTAGATGATATCAATAATTAGAATACACGATATCACGTATGAAATAATGATAACCAATGATATCGCCAAAAACTTCACCTTTCGTTTAGAAAATAGCCTCGTATCATTACTCACTTTTTAGGTACTGCGTGTAGTTTACAATTTAAGGTCAGACGACACGTTCCTCAAATATATGTTTTGTATCTCTTGGTATTGTATAAAAAAATATTCATATTAGCCATTCTCTTCTGATTTCTAAATTGTTTTCAAAATGTTTTTGAAAATAAGTACACAAAAATTTGAGGTAAAGGCCATTTAGAAGATTACCCATAAGGGTTATATAAGAAATATGACCCAATGGTATCTTGGCCAAATGCATGGTAAGGTACCCTAAATTTTTGTGAGGAAACTTGTCTAAGTACCCATACTTCAATGACAAATTCTTAGAAAATATTATATATTTTTGAACGTGTCGTCTGACCTTAAAAAAAATGAATCGACTACATTTAGGTGATCCCAGATTGTACATATTTGTCGAATTTCTTAGTCATAGCTCCCCTTTTTATGTCACGGATCGGAAGATCCCGGAGGTATATTGTTTTTGTCCTACCTGTCTGTTTGTCTGTATGTTTTTTGTCTGTCTGTTGTCGACTTTAACCTAGCCTATAACTATTGCGCTGTCAAGGGTAAGTGTATACCACTTCCGTCCACGTCCCACTCCAGAATTGTGTTGACATCGGGGGCATAGTGTTTCACAAACACATCTTGTTTTAATTTTTTTCATAACTTCCCCTTGCCAAAGCCGTACAATGTTCTTAACCTTGGTGACATGATCTGTTCTATGATTATTTAGCCAAATAACGGAACATATGCAAGAAGTGAATTACTGTTATTCTTCCCCATGTCCAAGGGATTATATTTAATCTGAATGATAATAAAACGCATACAGCAGCATTTACTTTTGAAGAAAAGTACCTTTTGATTTTTAGCTGGTGGGGTATATTACTGCCTTCACTCTGAGACGGTCGGACCTGTACAGTACGCTCTGACCATTACTCCAGAATCTGTGGATTATCAAAAGACGTTTAAATTCACATGCTTTGTATGTATACAACAAAATAATAATTTTATGAACCATATTCAATATCTAGAAAAAAAAACTTGAAATACGAACATTAAATGATTTATTGTAAACTTATTAATTACGTCATTTTTTTCATATTAATTAGGTTTTACAACAGAGTGGATCATATATTTACGCCAGCGACACCAAAGGGAGCTGCAAAAGAACACAGTCGCCTTTCTCCAAGGAAACCGATGGCACTGGTTTCCTAAAGCTGTTGTCTTTCGGTAAATGATCATTACTTTACTCAGTTCTTTTAATGGATATCGAAACCAATACCTTCAAAACTTATAAATGCTTGCTCAAAACAATAAAACTTTAAATTCATTACGGATTTTCCTACTGAAAAAAAAACAGGCTTGGTAATAGGATGAAGTAACACCTTGAACCAAATAAACATGATTTTAAAGTTTTGTTTTTGAATCATTCAAGTGTGTTTTTTTTCTATTTTTAGATTCTTGTCGTGAGTATATTATTCGTTGTCTGTTGCAATTTTCAAATCGAAAATCATTAAATCATATTTAGTTGCAATCTTTTGTAACAGCTCCATGCAACATGTACATGTATATAGAATTAAGGTGACTATGAGGACAATATCATTAACACTTGCAGCCTTTTCCCAGCCAGGGGGCGAATCAGGTAGCGATGGGGTGATAATAGCCGCGGTTGCTGTTAGTGCAGTGATATTGCTGATCATCTTAATTGTCATAGTCATCTATTGTTATAAAAAGTCACGGAAAAGGAAATTGGCATCACTGTTACAAACCGACATGTCAAAAAAGATGGGCGACAGACAACCCTTGAACGAGTCAATAGATAATGAGGATGCAACTTCCAATGACGTTACACCAGGTGAACACCCTTACTTTTTCACGTGTACAGAATTTTTTTCACAAGGGCTCTTTTAATATTACGTCAGTGCTTCGTTCAAAGACATGTCTTTGCTATACAAAGATTTGGTCGTTATATTGAAAAATTGATGAAGCTTTTTATGTATATAAATATCATCCAAGTACTGTATGCGTACTTAAAATAGCGGGCTTCATATTTTAGCGGCTTTGGCGCAGACAACAATGCGCTAATTCATGAATACCGCTAAGAAATCATTTATAAATAGAATATACGGCACGAACATGTGTAGCGCTAATTCATGATTACGCCAAGTCCATATCCATTGATCACGCTAAATTTTGAATACGCCAAAATATGTACACATACAGTATCATGCAACAATTTAGGGATGTTTACGTTTACACTTTTATTTTACATTTCAGAAAAAAATAAACATGTAATGAAGTGAACATCATTTTATTTATCTATATTTTTGTGATTCCAATAAATTATTGATAAAAATTTAGAATTGATATATTTCAGAAACGTGTTCAACCGAGAGAACATCATCGACTGCTAAACGCACAGATGCTAAAAAATCTCAAAAAGGTACATTTTTAAAATAATTCTAGATTACATAAATTCATGTTGAATTTTTTAAGGTTTATAAGCAATATAATTGAAATCTTTGACCTGTAGAAAAGCGCAAATCAGAAATGGAACAACAAACTTCAAAAATCGTCAAAGATTCCCCATATAATGAAAAGCAGACGTGTGAAAAGAAGAAAGATTCAAATCTTGAAATAATTCTGGAAGAAGATGACTATAAACAAATGAATAATGTTAAAACAAACGATACCGGGACATTATGTCTTGACGATGATCGAATCATTATTGATGCTGACAAATTTCTAGAAACGTCCAAATATGATACAAAACAAAGAAGTAAAGGAAAGGTTATATTTCTCGAAGACAATGAACATTTCAGAGACCAAAATATGGAATCTTACAAAGTCGATGAGGATGTTAAAACAGCGGATCAATCACAGAATGTGAATGTAAAGTCTATTTACTCTACACGAATAGAGAGGTCTTTACAAATATTAAATGAAAAAGAGGCAGACAAGCCAGAAAATGAACAAAATAAAGATGGTGTGTTTGATTCAGCACAAATGTCAAGAGTGAAGAAAGAGACGAGAGAGACAGATACTATATCCCAGAATGAAGCGGTGGTTACAAAAGATAATGATGTGGAGAGTAGCTATCCGAGTAAGGATATTCAGGAGAGGGACACAGTGGAAACAGACACAGATAGAATATGTAAAGCGTCTGGACATCATAAAGATCAAAAAGTAAGAAGTGAAAACGAGGTTGAAACTAACAAGACCCTGGCTTTAGCGAAAAACAAAACAAACTTGAGAAAGAGTATTTCCGAGAAACATAAAAAGAAGGAACTACATGTAAATGTAAAATCATTCAATGATGAAAAAATTGATAACAATAAAGAAGGGAAGATAAAAGAAAATATAAAAAGTGAGAAGATAGCAGTAATAAACACTGGACAATCAGGAGAAGCGGATAATCTAATTGTGGTACCTCAGTTACCCACGGATGGAATCAAATGTATGGACCAAGAAACACCAGAAAATCATTCTTCGTTGGAATTGTTAAGGTGTGGTGAACAGGAACAATTCCTGGACAAGAGATTATCAACTCCTGCAGTGGAGACAACTTTTGACCAAGAGCAAGATGTACATACTGAGAAACAGAAGAGGACTGGGAAGAAGAAGAAACACGAATTAAAGGATGACCCCCATAAATCTATCATGGTCAAAACTGAGGACAGTACCACGCATAGGAAGAAAAAAACAGGGAAAGTAAAAATAGGAAAAAGCAAAGGAAAATCTAAAGGTCGTAAAGAATTGTCAAAGATAAAGGATCAAGAGAGCAGTTCTGTTGACCCAAACAAAGGGATCAAAATGAATGAAGTGCCTTATGTAAACGGCCTTTTTAATAATGAAAACGAGAGACGATCAGAAGATTTGCAGGAAATTAATTCCGTCAACGAAAACCAACTAACAGCTGTTCAAGCATGGGCAAGCGTAGATATGGAAACGGATAATACGCACAAATGTAAGTGTTCAAATTAATGTGATTAAAAAGAAATTAAAAAAGAAATGCGCAGCTTGTCGGCTTTGGATCACAACAATTTCCAGTTTCAGAATATATAGACTTCAACTTTAAATTTTGAAAATGTTTTAAATTTTAACAAAAATATGTTATCTATAGAATTTATAAAAAGTCCATCATTAAGTAAAGGTCGAAAAAGACTTTTTACGTTGTTCTTGTATTACCTATATACTTGTTTCTGTTTCAAAATGTTAAAAAAAAATTTTTTTTTATCCATTTCGACGTTAAGTCAATGACAGAGATAGCAATCTTACATATGATGAAGATAAAGAGACAAATATAGATACATATGTGGGAAATGAAGACGGGAATCTTAACAAGATGGACTCTGAAGAACTGCTGGAATTAAGACCCTTGAGCTCACTGGCTCCACTGTCTACACTTATGAGAGAAGAAACTTCGTCCTCATTCATATATCATAATTACAAGACTGTACAAAAGTCAGCGGAATTTGAAATTTATCATAGACATGATTCCCCAGCTTTGAAAACAACAGGATTGAAAGGTAGAGTATTTAGCTATCAAATCTGAGAAAATATTTTGTGTATTATTTTCTGATTCTTTTAACGCAGCTATCGCGCTATAACAAGATATGAATTTAATTATATATTTTAAAAAATGTTATATACAAAAAATATCATTTAAAAAAATTAAAAAATTAAACATTTTGAGAATAAACTACAGAAGCTGACGCGGGAGAAAGTCTGAAATAAGTAAGGGAAAACAAAATTTTGTCATTGAAATATTCAATCTACATTGCAGGATCAGAAGATTCATCTTCTTTAACAAAGGTGGACGAATCGTTGTCTTCCTTGCGAATTCTAGACATTGAACAGTAAAATACCCAAAGGATTGTCCAAATCATATAATTGGCACACGATGGCAGAATTATTTCTGTGAATTTTTGTTATTCATTTTGAGGGAAACATTTTTTATTCTTTTTGTGTAAAATGTGACATGTAGTTTTATTCTGTAGCAATGGAACATCTTAATTAAAGGTTTTGTTTTAAAATTAGTTCCTGGGTGGTTTTTAATATTTTAGATTGTCATCTCATTTATCGATTTGCGATTCCTTCGGAATGACTTCCAGTTGTTTGATGTATATGTTATGTCAAGATGTCCACTTAATCAAACAATAATTCCTCTTTATGATCGATTTGCAGATTAAAGTGACCCAATTAAGTACATACATTATTTTTAGTGTAATGAAAAGGGTCAGTGAAGTGTGATCGATCTAAAAATCAAAAGCAAAACCCAAATCAAATTATACAAATGTGTAAACAAATCAAAAAGTCCTGTCCCGGGAATTTCAGGAGGTGGGATCAGGTGCCTAGGAGGAGTAAACATCCCCTTTTGACCGGATAGTATGTATTGATCAGGTAGACATAGCATTCCATAGTCAAATCTAGTGTTAAACAGGGCTCAAACAATAGGTTTGAAACACGTCAGCAAAAATATAACCGAATGATATGTCATTTTCACTGTGATATATCGGCTCAAAATATGAATGGAAGTCTTAAAATTGATGAAACGTCGTCAATATATCTGAACATCGACTTGCAGAAGTTTTTGAATAAATTCTGCTTTAAAGAAATAGTAAAGGTGCACAATTTATGTAAAAATGAGGAACTACTGTACTAGATTAGGAAGCCTTAAGATATCAAAAGCTGTATGAATTTTGAATTAGAAAACTGTCCTTTGAACATTGTATTTTACCTCAACTGCTTCAGAACTTTTAAGTTCATTTATGTTTAGAATTGGAACTATTGTTTTGAGGATTTTAATTTTGTCCCCGGATTAAAAAAATGGCAACAAATTTTAATTAATTTGGAGTTGTATTAAAGTTAAAAAAATGTTTTTGTTCTCATGCATATGCGTTATGATTAACTGCGGTTTAAATAAAATTGCGTATTCTAATTAAAGTCAGCGTGTCACTTGTTCATTAAGTGTGACCAAGATAAGATTTTTGTCTACTGTGATTTTTCACGCGAGAATTTTCGAGATCAAGTTTCGGTCAACTGCGAGGACAAAGGCTCTGCTTTGTTTTGAACTACATGTTTTCTTTGTTCGAAAATAGTCCTCTAAAATGGATCTTAGTTTTCGTTTTTCTCGATTTTGCAACAAGCATTAATTATACAGGTAAGCAATATGTTGTTTTTGTTTTCAATCCTAATTTCTATTTTTAAAAAATGTTAACGTGCCCTTACAGTGCATGTTCATTTTTTTTAATATGTAGCTCAAAAAATTATGGAAAAAGCCTATATAATTGAAATAGAAGTCTACCAGCAAATCCAGAAATATTTTTATTTAACACCTGATCAGAATATGTACACATATATGTTTTAAAATTTTAAGTTTTTGACATATTTGTTGATAAATTAGTAATTACCAGTATCAAACTGTTTTTTTTATTTAAAAAAAAACTCACTGAAAGCCTTTTTTCATCAGTGACAGCTCAACTTTTATAGTATCTCCAATACAATTATTTGCATATTACAGATATTCAGTTAGACACATGGGAATCATGGGGAGACTGTAACGTCACTTGTGGTCAGGGTCACCAAACAAGGTCACGAACATGCCCCGACTTGCAAACTCTAAATAATTGTTCCTTGTCCAACACAGAAGTCCGAATTTGTTTTGGAAACCAATGTATCGGTGAGTTATTAAATAATATTCTGGAACATATAATATTTTGGAACAGCAAAAAGTAAGAATACAGGTATTTCATAAATTTTTGCAGATTTATAAAAACTCTTTTTATATATTTAAGGAAAAACGAATTCTTCAAAACATCACAAAGGGTCTACTGAGGAAGAGAAAGCAAACGACAATGCTATAAATAGCGCTGTTTACAGCACCTTGATCTTCATCCCAGGTATCATTGGGTTCATTTTTGTTTGTTTCCGAACGCACCGAAAAACAAAAATGGAGGAAGAACGATTAAAGGATATTGAGAGACGTAAACTTTCCCTCCGAGATGACGCTGTCACGTGACGTCATGTGATCTGAGGCTGCAAGAGTTCGACTTTGTTTTACATAAAAAGATCAACTGGTCTTTCGATTTAAAGCAATAGTTACCAAAACTGTGAGGGGGTATTTGTAAAAGTGTTTTGGTAAAATATCCTAACTATTCGAGGTATTATTCTTGTTTTTTTTGTTGTTGAATCGAAATAAAATCTTAAACTTTTGTTTTTAACCCCCGACCCCCCCCCCCCCACCCCACCCCACCTCCACCCCCCCGGAATTGAACTTAAAATATAATTTGCATTTTTGAATTTGAGTAGTAAATGTTTCTGGAATACAAACAATTGTCTTTTTATTGCCATATTATGTGTGGATACTAGAACTTGCCAAATAGTCGCAATATTATTACTGCGAAAGAACATCTAAACTGTTAGAGTATTCAAAGTATATGACTTTTCAATAAAATCTGATAAAAAATGCTGTTTGAAAAACCCTAAAAGATCATCATTCAATTTTCTTTTCACTAATATATATATATATATATATATATATATATATATATATATATATATATATATATATATATATATATATATATATATATATATATATATATATATTACCAGGTCAGCTCTCTGAACTTCGAACAGAGTACTAAAAAAGTATGCATACACTGTACCTCTAACGGGCTTGGGGTGTTGCTAACTACATTTCTTGTCTTGAAATCTATAAATTTTTGCTTAAATGGCACAGTTCATTAAATGATAATCAATTATTGGCAAGAATCTTAAGTTCTTTTGTCCTTACAGAAATAAGCTTCGTGTTTGTGATTAGACTCTTAACACCAAAGGAGGGGTTTTATTTTATTGAAAATCGTTTTGGACGAGATTGATTGCTGTTCGTTATCTGCACATTTTCATTTCAAATGCAACGTAAGGTAAATAAACCTAAAATACCTTCAACAATAGACAGGAACTTTTCGTTTCAGCCCCTCCCCTATCACAATTTATTCTTTAATAATTAGTTATTAGTGGTAACCAAACTTAAACCCATAGCTCTCTTTCTAGGGAGGCATCAAAAACATTTTTCAGTTTTAAATAATTTTAATATTTAAAATATTCCTAATAATTAAAATAAATTTAAATTACCATATCTATATTGGATTCCGAAACTTCATAAAAATAAAGATACATAGCGGGTTCCAGTAAATGTTCAAACACGTCGGTTCAACTAGGGTATACGGATAAGTAGTTCCATAAAACCGATTAACATCTTTCAAATTCAAAATTTGATAAGAAATAGTTCCTTTAACTTCAACTAGGGTATACGGATAAGTAGTTCCATAAAACCGATTAACATCTTTCAAATTCAAAATTTGATAAGAAATAGTTCCTTTAATAGTAGATAGTGGGAATATTTTGCCTTATTACTTCAAATAAATCCTTTTAAAAATAGTCCATAAGAAGTCCCCTTTACAAAAAAATGTTTGACAATTCCACATTAAACCTACATTGACATTAAAAGGGTCGACAGGTCGACAGTTGACACCTCTTACTAATCAACAGTGTCACCACAAAGGTCGACAGGTCGACAATTGACACCTCTTATTGGTTAACCTACAATGTCATCACAAAGGTCGACAGGTCGACAGTTGACACCTCTTATTAATTTTCAAACCCATTTGAGATATAAGGGTTAGTTTTCAAATCCACTTGAGAGATAAGGGTTAGTATTCAAACCAGGCTGAGAGATTAAGTTTAGTAATAAAAACCCCTGAGATATTGGGTTAGTTTCGAACCCACTTGAGAGATTAAGGTTAGTTCTCGAATCCACCTGAGAGATTAGGGTTAGTTCTCGAATCCACCAGAGAGATAAGGGTTAGTTCCAGAACCCACCTGAGAGATTAGGGTTATTTTGGGTGCCGTTAGTTCCAAAACCGACCTGAGAGATTAGGGTTAGTTATCGAACATGATAGATTAGGGCTATTCCTCTATCCAACCTAGGGGTCAACCAGTCGACCTGTCGACCCGACTACCCGTCGACTTGTCAACCCGTCGATCTGTCAACCAGTCGACCTGTCAACGCACCAACCCGTCTACCCGTCGAATTGTCAACCTGTCAACCAGTCGACCTGTCTACCCGTCAACCAGTCAACCAGTCTACCAGTCGACTTGTCAACCCGACGATCTGTCAACCAGTCGAACTGTTTACCCGTCGACCTGTCAACCCGTCGACCTGTCAACCTGTCGACCTGTCTACCCGTCGACCAGTCAACCCGTCGTCCTGTCAACCCGTCGACCTGTCAACCAGTCGACCTGTCTACCGTCGTCTTGTCAACCGTCGACCTGTCAACCTGTCAACCAGTTGACCCGTCAACCCGTCGACGTGGCTACCTGTCAATTTGTCGACCTGTCAACCCGTCTTCTGCTGGAAAACTTATTTTAATTTCCTTTTTATTATACAACAACGCGCATTAATTCGTATTTGGCGCATGAATCCGATTATAAAGCAAGGCGCATTAATTCATATTTGGCGTATGAAAATATTTTTACCGGGACTACTTATCCATATATCCTAGTTGAGCCAACACGGTTTTCTTTCCTCCTCACTAAAATATTAACAGAAGTGAAGGAGAAGCCTATGGAGAACTGCGCAACAGTATATTCAGGAAGTGGTGTAAATCAGAAGTGAATACTAAAAAAGTCCGAGGAACTTTAATAAATTTGAAATTACAAAGTTTTACAAAAATCAATAACATCAAAACGTTAATTTTTTTTCAACTTTATACAACATTCCCCCACGATAAAACTAAGTTCATGCTTTGACATCACCGACGACTTTTTTTAAAAGAATATAACTCGTAAATTTCATTACCTTATGATTGGCCATTTACAGAATTATTTTTGTTAATATGGACAAATACACTGAATTTGATATTTAATGACGTTCGAGTTTCTAATTGACAATTTTTATGAGGTTTTTGGAGAGCAGAACTTCCAACAATCTGTTGGAATTCCCATGAGAATAGCTGTGTAGATTGCTCCAAGTTACACAGATTGAAGAGGGGTACCTTTGATATTCTGTCGATGTTAAATGTGAGATGGGATTATTAATAATAAATCGGGGGGGGGGGTATATTTGTATTTCTTTATACATATAGTTTAACCATTACAAAAAATGGAAAAATTGACCGAAAAATACGTTCACTGACAATGTTTATTAGAAAAGATCTTAGAAACCGTTGCCGTAGAAAAAAAATACTTAATTGCTTGTGTATATCGATGACTATGAATCTGTCGTAGTTTATAGTAATTTTTAAATCTAAAAGTACTTGGGTTTTTGACCTGTTCTAATCAGAGTAAGTAACATGTACTTGAAATGCATTAATTCATCTCCAATGATGTGATGAAAAAAGCGCTGTGTAAGCTAACTCACTTTCTGCATTTGAGAGCTGACTACTTGTAATTAATTAATTGCATACATATATATAATTTCAATGCAAAGAAAATCAGATAAAAAAAATGTTATAGTTTTGTGGGGTTCATATTAATCTTCTTCAATTCCAACTGGTTCAGTCTTAAGTGCATTGAGACAAATGCCATTTTTTATGGTGCAAACTCTAATTAAATCAGAGATGATGAAAGTTTGTGGTTTAATTCTTCTAAATACTAATTGTAATTAAGTTTGTGACATAGAAATATCTCATAATGGCCATTTGGAGACGGGGGCGTACGGCTATTTATTGACAAAAATGGCGGCACTCGTCTGATTTGCTTCCCCCAATATTATTAAGATCAATGCTAATTGAATTGTGTCGCTTAACAATTTGTAACTGCTGTAATAAGTGTTACTTTTCCGTCTGAAACAGATTTTTGACAAATGTATTTCCTTTGTGTGAATGATTGCTTTCTTCCATCAACTTCATCATAAAAATAAATACGTTGTTTTAATACATTTTTATAACAGACACGAAGCTATAGTGATTAACGTGCCTTAGCGCGTTATGCCATTAACTAGAACTCAGATATGGTAACTTCAGTATATACTACCATAGACCTGCAACTTAGCTTGTAAATAACTTTCTTAAAGTCTCTTTCCAAACCTACATCTCAAAATTAGACAAACACATGTGTGATGAAAAAAATTATGATAATATTCTGATCAAATCAAATCATTAACCCATACAAACTTTGTAGAAATACAGTTCCAGTATTAATAACAAAATGGATAACCCAATGTAAATATGCAAATTATAAGTAGTTACAGTATTGCAAAAAGAGGATTTGTCAATGTAAAGAAACATTCAGTAAACATATTGCTCCACTAAAAATCTTGGTAGTATAAAAGCATTGCTTGTATAAATGTACATGTACTAATCAGGGATGTTAAGAGGGCCGACCGGGGTTTTATTGTTTGAAAACTACAATAGCGAAACTATTCATTTTTATACCATAATATATATAATTTACATTAACTTCAGTGTACATGCAAAGTTTGGGGAAAATCTATCCTCAGGTATTTTTAAGGGACCGTCTCAAAATACAGGTACATTTAATACTAGTTTAGGATTATATGGGAAAGTGCCAAATTTTCGCACTTTAAAACAAATTATACAAATACTACAATAGACTCTTTGCTCAAACTATATTGTATGATGAGTAATACTATATTGTGCATTATATGTAAGAACCACAAAATTCTACCGCCTTGTTTCTAGAAGGGGCATCTCAAAATGCCAAAAAATAACGAATTTCCTTGTTTTTATAGATTACTACAAAACATGACGCATACAAAGGATTTACACAAAAAATTATACACATGACGGAGAGATTATCAAATTCCTATGTTTTAAATTTCAAGAGAATATATTTATTACTTTTTCTTTTATAACATTTTTTATTATCCCATCTTTAAGAGCATCGCGTTATCTAACGTCAAAAACACAAAAATATTACGACGCCAATGTACCTGTCAGTTTAAAAATCATTTTAAAAATCAGTTATTTAAAATTATAATAAAATTTTTCGACCCTTAATTTCTTAATTTTGTTTAGTTTTATTAATTAAGTGAAAAAGTTGCTTTAAAACTGTAAATACGCTTCATTTTACTGTGATGCGCGAAATATTGCGCAATGGAAACTACAGTCGGTCCCCTTAAACAAAAATGAGGCA